ACAAACATAGGTATTAATGCATTTCACACGAGGGGCAATACTGCATCCACCATTACTAATGGCACATTCATCGATATCCTGACAACTTATTCCATTCCCAGTAAGACCTTCAGGGCATGGTGTGCATGTAAACGTACCCGGTAAATTGAGACATTTTGTTGTGCAAGGTGGATGAAAATCTTTACACTCGTCTACATCGACATTACAAGCTGGAGTTAAACCATTTGTTTTCCATCCCTGATCACATAAGCATTTATAACCAAAATTATTATTGTAATTTACGCAAGTGCCATGTTCGCATAGTTCCCGCACAGAAGACTGAAAGCAGTCACCATTACGCTGAGTGCAATGTATACCAATCCAACCGAAAGCACAAATGCAAAAGTAGCCTCCAAATTGATTTACACATTGTCCACCATTCTGGCAACCTAAATCAGTGCCTGAGTAAATCGCACACTCGTTTACATCCCTTTCGCATGTTGGGCCCTAAAATATAATTTAAGAATATAAATAGTATTGCAATAAATCGTTTTTAAAAACACTTTTGTTAAATATTTTTTTTGTGTTTTGAATCGCTTTTAATTTCACCACTTAGTAACAATAACATAAGTTCTGGTCCAAACTTAAATATAGTTGAAATAAATTTATTTTGCTTGTCTTATAAACTATTACATTATTTACTAAATCTTTTAAAAGAAAATTTACAACAATGAATCGAATCTTAAAACTAAATAAGCTATAGAAGTTAACCTTGTACTTGTGATTTCATTTTAATCATTAGTATCATTTATTAATGGTGTCATAATATTCGTCATATACCAAAATTCTTATAACATCTCAGTACCATGATTATATCATGAAGAGAACAATAATATGTTCAGGAAATATATTATAAAATACAGTTATAATTATAACAACAATGGCAGAACTGAAGGTGGTACTGCTAAAGAGTGGCGAAATTTTGGACCAAAAACCACACAAAAATTGATTTTTTCGATTTTAAAACAAATAGTAGCTATTATTAAATAGAAGAGCTTGGCCACTAAATATGAATTGTTATCGAAAATATTTTTTTTTAATTTTTACGTTAGCTGTGCCAATAATTTTTTTCAGCCAAATTTAGTTCTTTTTTTGGTTTTTTAATTTTGAAAAATTATATGTAAGAGAAAACAAAATGAAATAAAATGAATTTAAAAGCAAATTAAGCTTTTCATCTAAAAAACTTTTTTGTTTATTAAAAATCGCATCATTAATAAGATAAAAATAGTGCTTAAGTTCAATTTGCTTGCTGTGCCAATAATTTTGTTCGTCACTGTATATAGGGTGGCTCACGTTATAAGGGGGATTATTAAAAACTTACTTTTAAATGAGCGCACCTCCAAAGAATATGCCATTGACCAAAAAAAGATATTCCCGAAGTTTTGGAGGAATAGAATTAAAATTGACATTGCGCCACTCGAGCAAAGTTGGATTTTCAGTACAAAATCCATAAATTTTTCAATTCGAGGTCATTTATATCTTTGTTACTTATTTCAAAAATTATTAATATATTGTTACGTAATCGCCTGAATGTTTATTCGTATCTCAGGATTTTATAAAAATGAAACGAACTTTAAAAATTGGAGAAACTATATTTATTATATTTGTTGTATTGAAAAGAACTAGTATTTACTAGGAGCCAATTTAGCTTCACTCAAAACAAATTCCAACATTAACACTTTCTTAAAAATATCAGTTGACATAATGTTTAAATAATATTTAATAATATTTAAACATTTCATTGCTACTCTGATGAAATTCGTAACATTGCCCTCATCTTAAATCTGTTCGTCCCGAACACCACATCGTTGCAATAAGGTGCCAGCCATTCCAGATGCACCACTTTCATTCGATCTCTATGATGCCCCGACTGTTGAATTCGATAAACAACATCATTGATCTTCGTTATTACCCTATATGGTCCTTGCCAATGGGTCTGGAGTTTTGGAGACAAACCTTTCTTTCGTTGTGGATTATGGAACCACACTAGGTCTCCTTCCTGGAAACCTTCAGAGTTCATTCTCAAATCATACCTCGCTTTCATTTTGTCACTGGTCAGTAAGAGCCGTCTTCTGATGAATCGATGAATTTCATCTAATTGGTCCCGCTTACTTCCAGTGTAGTCACATGTCATCTTGCCGCAAAGTGGCGTTATTCCAAATTTTAAGTCCGCGGGTAATCTGATATCGGCGCCAAAAACTGCTCTTGCTGGTGGAATTATGTCGTGTCGCCAAAAACTACTCCTGTTGATGTGGAATTATGTCGTGCAGACCGATAGGCGAGTAGGAACATTGGAATATGAACGTCCCAGTCTTTCTGATTTTTATCAACCACTTTCCTGAGGTACTCGTTTAATGTACGATTAAATCGTTCAACCATACCATCCGACTGCGGATGTAAAGGCGTTGTACGAGTTTTATTTATTCCCAGTAATGTGCAAATTTCTCTAAAGATTGTTGACTCGAAGTTTCGCCCCTGATCTGAATGCAGTTCCATTGGAACACCGAATCGCGTAACCCAATTGTTTAAGAAAACTTCTGCTATTGTGCTGGCTTCTTGATTTGGAATTGGATACACTTCTGGCCACTTACTGAAGTAATCCATTACTACCAGCACGTATTTGTTCTGTGCGTTACTAGTAGGGAAAGGTCCATTGCAATTCTCTCAAAAGGAACACCAACGTTATATTGTTGCATTTTTTCACGGCTTCTAGTATTCGGACCTTTTGATGTAGTGCATGGAACGCATTTCCGTATAACGTCCGCAACCGAATCTTGGCACCCGACCCAATAAAAACGTCTCTTGATCTTTTCCACAGTTTAAGTAACGCCCAATTGACCTCCACTAGATGCATTATGGTATTCTGAGACAACTTCGTCAATGCGAGACTTCGGTATTACCAGGAGGTTATTATTGGTTTTACCATTCTCACTTTCCCATACCCGATATAAACAACCATCTTTCAGATGCAAGCTCTTTACTTTCCATTATTTTGGAGAGGTCTGCATCATTCTGCTGTTCTTTTTGTATCTGCTCATTGGTCCACGACTCCTCTGGAAGAGCATTAATCAGACGTATATCCACAATGTGTTCTTTATTTTCGACCCGTAAACAATGTTTGCACTCGAGGCCACAAGGGCGACGTGATAATGCATCAGCGTTTTCATGATGGCTTCCTTTACGATGTTCAATAGTAAAGTCGTAACTTTGTAAACGTTCAATCCACCGCGCCAGCTGACCTTCCGGTTCTTTAAACCGCAGCAACCATTTAAGTGCTGCATGGTCAGTTCTGAGGAGGAATTTTTGACCGTATAAGTACTTGTGGAAATACTTCACACATATCATTATCGCAAGTAACTCCTTTCGTGTGACACAGTAGTTCTTTTCTGGCTTGGCAAAATTTTGCTGTGGTACGCTATCACTTTTTCTTGCCCATCCGTTATTTGAGACAACACTGCGCCTATTCCAGAGCCACTCGCATCTGTGTCCAATATAAAGGTTTTCCCAGGTAGTGGATACGCCAAAACTGATGCTGCACAGAGTCGTTCCTTAAACTGTTCAAAAGCTTCATTTTCTTCATCACCCCATTTGAAAGATTGGTTCTTTTTAGTTAATTCGTATAGACTACTGGCAATATTCGCGAAGCCAGGAACGAATCGTCTGTAATAGGTACAGAGCCCCAGGAAACTTCTAAGATCATGCAAATTTGTTGGTTGTGGCCACTCCTTCACTGCTGCAATTTTCTCATCATCAGTATGTACGCCTTCTGGGGTAACTTTGTGACCAAGATATTTGACTTCACGTTTGAAAAGTGAGCACTTCTTTGAATTCAGCTTCAAATCAGCAGCTTGTATTCGCTCGAATACTTCTTTCAACTTTTCTAGGTGATCGTCGAAGTCTTTACCCATTACAATTATATCGTCAAGGTAGACTGAACAAGATTTCCAGGTTAGTCCTTTTAAGACGCGCTCCATGAGACGTTCAAAAGTGGCCGGAGCATTGCAGAGTCCAAACGGCATAACCGTGAATTGCCACAAACCATCACCGACACTAAATGCAGTCTTCTCTTTGTCTTCTTCTTTAAGTTCTACCTGCCAATAGCCGCTCCGTAGATCAAGAGTTGAGAACCATTGTGCGCCAGATAAAGTGTCGAGAGTATCGTCGATTATTGGTAGTGGATAGCTGTCTTTCTTTGTAACATCATTCAGCTTACGATAATCTACGCAGAACCGTGTACTTCCATCTTTCTTCTTTACAAGTACTACCGGCGAACGCCATGGACTTTCCGATGACTCAATAACACCTTCTTTTTGCATACCCGCAACTAGACTGGTTACCTCATCTCTTTTTGCCAGTGGAACTCTTCGAGGCGCATGACGAATTGGTTTAGAATCACCAGTGTCAATTTCGTGTTTTACAATAGAAGTTCTTCCCTTGAGCGCAAAAATTGACCAATTCTTCCGTATGACTTGCATCGCCTTTCTTTTCTGACGTGCATTGAGTTCCTTAGTCCAACTTAGTACTTGCACCATTGTATCCTCCTTTTCTGCAATGGTTTCTTTTTTCATTACTTCGGAATTTTCACTACAATTAACTACAGCTGAAACCTCTTGACATTCACCAATTATTGCCCCTTTTTTTATAAACTTTGATGTACCAGATAAATTCAAGAGTCGGACAGGTATGCTATCATCTACTTTTGGCTCTACTAATGTTTTCCCCAGTAAGATGTCGTTCATTCGAATTTTTCTTACGGCTTCAACGACCCACAACTTACTTGTCCTTTCCCCTCCATTTATTTTTGCCCATACGATCGCCTCTGAATTCGCTGGTATTTTCTGATTTTGACACAACCGGATCTGTCTTACACTGCTACTGCGCTGATATCCAGTATTTAGTGGACATTCGATATCCATGTATCGTAACATTTTTCTACTTCAGTCCAGTGTAATTCCATGCGTGATCATAAAATCTATACCAATAATCACGTCATCGGTTTTATCGGCGACTATGAATTCATGTTGAAATTCATAGCCACCTAAAGTGATTCGTTTCATGACCTTTCCTAGTATTGGTGCCTCTTCATCCATTGCTGTTCGAAGTTTTAGACCAGCCAATGATGTACAATTCTTTTCTAGGTCTCCTTTTATTATCGAATGTGAAGCACCAGTGTCCAAAGTCAAAATAAACGGCATATTGTTAATTTTTCCATCAATGGTTAGGCTGTTGGGTACCCGCTTTAACTGTGAGACGAGGATGATGGAGCAATCATTTACTGAAGTCAGTTCGTGCCCCTTCGAACTGACTCTCGTTAGTTTAACGAAGGCTTATTAGCCCCGTTAGAATTACTATCGTGATGTTTCTTTTCCGATGGAGAGCTTGTCGTGACCGCTTCCGATGTTGACGACAGTCTCGCGCCATATGTCCAAGTCTGTCGCAGACAAAACATTTTCCATTAAACTTGTTGCCCTTTCTAACTAAGGCAACTTTCATCTGACGAATTACTTCTACCAGGTCATCCGCATCAGTTTCTATTTTCCGTATTTTTGCTGTATGACGACACATAATACCGGCAGCTTCGTACGTCAATGCGCAACTGACTGTTTCAGAGTATGTCTTCTTCGGGAACATTACGACCTATCGCTTGGTTATCGGATCACGTATTCCGTCTATGAAACTGTCAATTTTACTCTTCTCCATAAAATCACTAGAGTTACCAACGTATGCCAAATTATACAAACGTTCAATATTAGCAGAGTATTCCTGAAGACTCTCCCCAACACGCTGGACTCTAGCTTTCAGTTCTACTCTGTGCAATGGACTCATAAAATCGTTACCATACTTACGCTTCAATGTGTCCATTACCACTTGATAGCTTTTACGTTCCTCGGGTGGAATTTGCTGAAAACATCTGCCGCATTACGTTTTATTGCCACAATTAGAGCTGCCGTTTTCTCATCAACATTCCAATGATTTGTTGCAGCTGTTGTTTCAAATTGTAGTTTGAAGACTTCAAAGGTTACGCTTCCATCAAACGTCGGTGGTTTTAGTTTAACGCCACCAATTTCACGAACAATAGCTGAAGTCGACCCACTTAGTTGCATATTTTCAACTTGGCTTTTCAACTGAGCCATCTCATCTTTTAAGATCTGGACATTCTGATCAGTCTGGTCTATTCTCTTCGAGCATATTTCCTGGACTTGTTGCAACTCAATCTTTAATTCGGCAGAATTTTGTTCTAATGTCTGCGTGATTTCATCAGACTTTTGTTCCAGCTTTTCTTCCAACTTACGTGAACTGTGCGCCTGTTCTTCTGAATTTTTCTCAAGCTTCTGCATCATTAAGTTCATGGTTGCCATAATTTCACTATTCTTGTCAGGTTTTTCATCGAGGAACTTGTGTTCTTTTACATTTATGCCATTAGCCTCCAACGCCTCACGAAGTCTCAATTGCAGTTCTGTTTTCGCACCACCTGTGCCAAGTCCCACTTTCTCCAACTGTTTTTTTAGTTGAACCACAGTTAATTCTTCCAATTTCACCATTTTTACAAAATCCCACTTCTGACACCAAATGTTACGTAATCGCCTGCGTGTTTATTCGTATCTCAGGATTTTATAAAAATGAAACGAACTTTAAAAATTGGAGAAACTATATTTATTATATTTGTTGTATTGAAAAGAACTAGTATTTACTAGGAGCCAATTTAGCTTCACTCAAAACAAATTCCAACACTAACACTTTCTTAAAAATATCAATTGACATAATGTTTAAATAATATTTAATAATATTTAAACATTTCATTGCTACTCTGATGAAATTCGTAACAATATACTTATTTGATAGATAATTTAAATATTTTTTTAATAAGATATTGAAGAGCACAATTGGTAAAAAAAATAATGCGCAAAACACATTAAATAGTTAAACGACTGTACTATGATTTCGATTTCATAACTTTTAGCTGGCATGCACAATGCAATCGCAAGTGTTTACAGGAAACGGAATAAACATAAATAAAAAATTAAAATAATAATTTTCTCCTTAATAATTTATTTAGATATTTAAGTAGATATAAAAATGTAGTCAAAACAAGAAGTTGTTTTGTAAGCAAAGAGAAAATGATCGTCCAGGGAGTATGACTGGAGTTAACATCCTTTTAGTAATCGAAACAAGAGCGGCAAAAGAAAAAAGAGCGTCGAAACTTAAATATATTAAATTAGAAGATTATAACAGTATGCAAAAGCCAAATAAGCAAGCGTTTGTAATTTTTTCTTTTATTTAATAAACATATTTTCTTTCTTGAAGGTGATTATAGTTAAATTGATTTTATTTGGAATGAATTCGATGAAGAAACTTGTCCCGAAATTGAAGCTGAATCTGCAGTTACAATATAATATTATAGGGATAACGCAGATAGAGTGATTCAATTTATCACTCCTAGATTAGTTTCCGCACTTGACAAATGCAAGATTTCGGATCGCTACGCTGTACATATTTTGGCCGCAGTGACTGATGCATTAGGTAATGACATAAAGGATCTTGCTATAAGTAGTCATACAATTCAACGATGCCATCAGAATCATCGTGAGGAAATAGCAAATAAGATTAAAGATGAGTTCCATATGAAAGTACATTTCAAGGACTATATTTTTATTGTCCATATTTCAAGGGCCATATTTTTATTGTTTGGTCAGAAAACAAAATTCTTTCCATTGTAGTTACTTGAAACTCTGAAGTTCATGGACTAATAGTACATTTTGACGGGAAACTCTTGCGAGCTCTAACTGGCCATGAAGAAGTAGTATAGTTACCTGTTATTATTTCCAGAAATATTATTGAAAAATTACCACGTGTTTCTGTATGTGACAACGGAGATGGAAAAGCAATTGCTAATAAAGTTATTGAAAACTTAAGCAGTTGGTCGCTTTTCATATTTGTGAAATTATTTTATGGGAAGCATTTGAAATGAAATTTAGCAAATCGAATGCTCCACAAGTCAAAAATGAATTTCAGAATGCATGGGATTTACGCAAATTCATAACAAATAACTTCAAAGGGGGTCTTCAAGACTGATACGTCAAAAGAAATATTAAAGTGGAAACTTACAAAGATTTCACACATTTTTGTCGTAAGAAAATGTCTACAATTTTAAATTTCGTCACCTACGTGCCACTTCAAGTTCTTGATGGATGGCAAAAGCCATGTATTTATTGAAAATGTTCATTTTTAGAGATCAATTTACATATAAATCAGGTGATTTGTACGAGACATTTTTAGGGCGAGTGAAAATTTTTATGTGTGAAAATTTGGTTTAATTGGACGAGAAAAGTTATAGCAGCTAACCA